AAAAAAAAAAAAACGATTGCACCGATGGCTTATCACTCACGTTGGCATTCAATGCGTTCCCGTGGCGGTCACGGTCTTAGATCCGATTGGCGTATTAGAATACACGTATTTTTCGAGTTGGTACGTTGCCACCGATGCGATGATCGGGCCTGGCAGTAGTGCGCTCGACAGCGCGCAGAACGGACCCAATCGGCGATCGTCACTTCTCCAGGGTCTGAGAGCCGCGATTTCCACCCGTTCGAGCACATTTCGGCAATCGAACATGCACCCGAGGAACATTTAACATTTCCATTCCACGTCAAATCTCTATATCCGAGTGCTTTCAACTTACCATCTTACAATCTTTGACTTTGGATCGGATTTGAAGATTGGCGGCAATTTTGAAGATAGATGTTAAAAGGAAAAACGAGCGGTTTCGTTGTATTTAAAAATTGCGTATATACAGTGTGAGGGACTGAATTTGGTGAAAAAAAAAAAAAGTCAAGGAATTTTTCTTCTCCTTTTTAATTGGAAGTAGGCCGTCCTCGTGGCTGGCCGAGAATTTCTGGACGACGAATTGCTTAATGCCTTTTCTTCCTGGTATTGAATGGTGGACGAACGTAAGTTGTTCATTTTACTCTCAGGGTAATTGTTGTTGATATAGTTAGGTGAATGAAGAGGCAGAGTGTCATGTGTGCCGTGAGTTGAGTGGTATGAATTGGCATAGTCTGTTTATTGGCTGGTGATGTTGCTACTTCCTCTTTGACATTTTCTGCGTTGAGCTGCCGGGTTGTGGGTACAGCGTCGACCTTTGCTAATCATATGGGAAATCGTTCTGTGAAGAGATTGAGATTGGCTCGCAGAATCGTAATTTTTAGCTTCGTAATACAATGTAGGCTCATTTTGAAATAATTTTCGGTACAAATCTAAGAACAGAGTTTTATTAAGTTAGAAGAATCACTTTGTGAAGGTTGAGACTGATTCACGGAATTGTAATTGTTAGCTTCGTCTTATGAAATAATTATTAGTTAAAAAAACTTATTCTAGAATAATTTTTAGTTTTTAAATCACACACTCTTTAATAACAGAATAATGGATTAAAAATCACAAGTCACTGTCCGAATAAATCTATTCGAAACTATACCCAAACTTCAATTATAAAGATTCGTATCAAATCATATCCAATGTAAATATATTTTAATCATTAACACAGCCATTTCATTTTATTATTCAAGAGGTAATTAAAATTCAATGAAAATAATATCAAGTAGATACTTGGTGGAATAAACAAACCAAGAAATCTTTTTTTTTTTAATTCTATTTAACAGTAGTCACATGTCGATAATAATTAAGAAACAGAATCTTCTTTTTAAGATCTGAACACTTAAGAACGGCGATAATTCCATAATTTAAATGACTTAATTATGTAACATAAATTAATATAGAATTATGCAAATTATGCAATATTTCTTTCAAACTTGAAACTTGCTGAAGTTGAACTGAATTCATCTTCGTGCCATCTTTTCCCTCGATGAAACTTAGGCATCTGCAACATGATGTTTATCGCTAATCCGATGTTGACACATCGGTAGCGAAAATGTGGCAAAATTTTGTCCACGGGTAAAAGAAGTGTCATAAAAGGTACAAAAGTGGCATTCATCGATGACGTACAAATTGTCAACGCTCGTCTCCAGCGATGGTGACGCGTGTTCGAGGGTACTAATAATGTAATTTGTGAGTTCCTTTCAACGCTCTCGACAGACTCCACAGTCGTAGCGAAGCTACGTACTGTACTAATAGACAAGAATTTTTAATAAAGCGACGGTTTTCAACGTGATCACCTCTGGCACGACATTCGATGAATTTTAAGATCTTTTAGTCTCTTTTGCCATTTTTCACTTGGAGGTTAGAGTTTCGTGGATTCGAGTTTCCGGAAGTCTAATAAAGTGGAGCGGGGAAAGTTTGGAGCAACTTGCATTGCTATGTTGTGAATGTTTAGGATTATTTTTTCATAGTTTGCGCAAGGAATTGTCAAAGCATCTCACCTTTTTCAGAAAATTTAAAGGAAATATGTAGTTTATTGATTATTTTTTGTATA